ACAGCGCTCCTCTCCCATTATAAACCAATCAGCAGCTTATCCTTCAACTTTTTCCATTTGGAATCCCTAACGTTCTTGGCGCACTGTGTCCCCAGTTGGAGCGGCTGCACCACTCCTTTTTTTGGGACACTTCGAATAGCCGAACAGCACATTTGAACAACAATTCACGAACGATCACAATGAAACACAGCGTATTCCCAAACAGTGCGTTTGAGGACTAAGGGTGTCTTAGTCCTCATTGTCCTCATTGAACCTAATGTGCAGTGCCTCCGGAAAAGTATTCACAGCAGTTCATGTAGGTCAGGGGTGCCCAACTCTTTTGACCTAAAATCTACTTCTCGATCAACCAACCTCCCCCAATCGACCCGTTAACACGCACGCGCGCATACGCACGCGCTTGCACATGCATACCATGATGAGCAACAGCTATAATGGCCCCTAAGATGAACGAAACAGAAAAACAAATTAGACACAAGAGTTTGTGATTTTATGAAAAGGATTTCCTGTCTACCTGAGTGGGAGACCTGGCACAGATGCATACGATGCACTTTTGCAGCCTTTTAACTATCGTCTCTTACGAGTACCGTTTTAAAATGCTTTTCTTGGCCCTTCAGATTGCCATTCTTTGTGAGTGCCATCGGTGAATTGTACATGAAACGAACTTTGACTCTCTCTCTCTCTCTCTCTCTCCCTCTCTCTCTCGCTCTCTCTCTCTCTCTCTCCCTCTCTCTCTCGCTCTCTCTCTCTCTCTCTCCCTCTCTCTCTCGCTCTCTCTCTCTCTCTCTCTCTCGCTTGCTCGCTCTCCCTCTCCCCAATGTTCGACCACAGAAAAGGGTGTGTTTATCTTTTGTGTTTCATCGTAGAAAGGGTTCCGTCAGTCGTCATCTGTACCTGTGGGTAAAAAACCAAAAAGGACGTTTCGCTTCTCTCACAGAAGCTTCGTCAGCGGTAGACAACTCTGAAGTCTCCGTGAAGACTCCGGGCAACTGCTCTGCGCTAAAAAGCTGAGCGTGGCCTATTTGAGGACTGGGTGGGGATGGTTAGTAGTTTTTGTTTTTTTTTGTTTTTTACCCACAGGTACAGATGACGACTGACGGAACCCTTTCTCCGATGGAACTTTCCTGTACGACTGAGAGCCTCCACAAGTATCTTCTGTGTTAAAATGTGGGGGTGGGGGGTCAAAATCATTCACAGCAAACAAGTGTGGAAACACCAGAGAAGCGTTGTCATATTGTGTGTTTCTATTAAATTACAGGACATTTCATGCAACGCTTGGAGGTAATAAAATATCAGCATTTTTTGCTCGTTCGTTGTACTACAGTGAAACTCCTCTACAACGAAATCATGTTTGCAGCAAGAAATTTTTCACAACGGTTTTTTTCACTGTAGCAAATTTGATCTCAGATGTACACACACTATTTAGCTGTCCATCATGTCTAATGATGACGCTTGCTCCAAGGGAGGGGAGGATGGGTAGGGTGGGGTTGGGGGGGGGGGGGGGGGGCTCTGTCCCGGGGGGC